CTTTCAAAGTGAATCTCTGGACAGGTATTCAGTGCTGGCGCACGTCATCCCAAGACAGACCATGTTTATTGAGGTAATGGGTGACAGGACTTACCGGTCGGCGGCAAACAATCACTCGTTAACAGTAGATTTGTCGCTAACGGACCGATCCATTCGGACAGATGAAGAGAAATCACTTTACATTCAGTCCAACGCTATTAAAGCGGACGCCAAACACCGGAAGGGAGTCGTAACGAGTCGTGTGTTAAGGGCTAACATACCGGTGAAGAATGGTGTCGTCCATCTCATTGACAGACCACTGGTTGTGATCGACATCTCAATCGATGATTATCTTCGACAAGAAAGCAATGGACGGTTAAAAACTTTTAACAGACTCTTGGATTCATTGCCCGCTTTTAGATCTCAATTGAATCGTCTCAAAGACGTTACCCTTTTGGCGCCGACTGACACGGCGTTCAGCGCCCTAAACGGTGACAATAGATTGGATCAAATCCTACATAACCATGGTCAATTAAAGGCACTTCTTGAGCTTCACGTGGTTCCAAACGAGTCCATTACAACATATGACGTGCGAAACAAAAGCCAAAATGTAGTGTCAGGTGACAGACAACGGATGCTTAACTTCTCTGTTGCCGGCAATGAGAGCAACAATTTGCTGATAATGGATGGAGAAGTAAACGCCACCGCAATCGTGACCAATATCGGCACCACTAATGGCATCATTCATGTGATCAATCGAGTGCTGGGAATACCTCTCCTAACCGTTGCCGACAAACTGCGAGCCGATCCGTCCCTCTCTTATTCATACAGTTTGGGTCTGAAGGAGCCGTGGAGTCGACGATTGGCCCGAATGGACAGTCGTGTGACATATTTCGTGCCAAACGACGAGGCGTGGGATCGACTGAGAAGAGATTTATTTAAATACGACATGAATTTTATTGTCAAAAACGTGACAAATATACTGAACAGACATCTTATACCCAACCGAGAGATTACTTCTTCACAACTGAACCATAGTTTGTATTCAATAAATACAGCGAACGATAAGTTAAGACTGGATTCCCGCGGAAGAGACGCTATATTTGTTGAATGGGAGGACACGAGGGCTCGCATAGTGAGAGCCGACATCCAAGCTCTCAATGGTGTGATTCATGTGATCGATAGGGTTTTCATCAAGAATACAGAAATTGAAATCACTATTAATTCATCCTCTCATCCGTTCGCTAACATTATATTGACATTTGTTTCGTTACTTATTTTAAAATACATCTAAAATTATGACATTTTAATTAATTATATTTTGGCAATCAATTAATAATTAATATAGTTTTATAACTTCTGAGTGATAGATAAAGCCATTTATTATTAATATAGTATTTTTAAACAAAAATATTTTTGCGTTAATTAATTTTTACATTAAATTTACAAGATCTTTATGTACAAGTATAGTAGATATTACGTATGTTATAACATGTTGTTATATAATGTAAATATTTAATTAAATAACATTTTACGTAATAATATTAATATTATATAATGTCTGCATGGTACACCATAAGATTATTTTTGCAATTCAAGCATACAGAATATAAATTTATTTTGTTAAATTTATAATTTACATTTTCATTTATTAATTATAAGCAAATATATAACAGACTTATATTTACAGTTAAAAATAATATTATAAATATTTATTTTGATCATTGCAAATAGCATTTTTGAATAATTAAGTAGAGTTTACAATACAAAGCATTGTTTGTTAGTATACTTAATAAGCAAACAATTGAAAATCAAACAAATATATTCGTCACTCGTTTGACACGACGTGTGATATCATGTTTAATAGTGGTGTGAAGAAAGCCATAGAATATGGCGTTAGTTGTGGCCGAAGACATGGCTATGAGATGACAGACGGCGAGAATGAGATACAGGTGTTGTGCCGTCACATCAAAACCGGCCATAAAGTCGGCCAAAACGTTGAATACATTCCACGGCAGCCACGATATGCCGAAGAGTACTGTTATAGTCAACAGAAATATTGTGATTCGGTTGTTGCGGACCACTTCCCGGTCGATGTATCGCCGGTCGTGCACTTCGGTGGTCGACGTGTAGCACGTGTTGGCCGCAGACGTCGATAGCGTATACGTCGGCGTCTCTGAGCTTATCATCTCTTCTCTGAAAATTACAAATTTAAATAATTAATGCATAAAATATTTAAATTCTTAAATATTATTTTTAGTCATATTAATCGGAAAATTTAAAGTGCTTCTCAATTAACACATACACATAATTAAACATTCATTATATAATTCCACATAGATTTAATAATAAATTTCTAGGATCTATGTCTGAGCCCAGAAGGCATACATAAGTGTTTACAAGTCTAAACACACAGAATATACTGTAATTATATATACTGTATGTCAAATGAACGTACCTTTCAGTCTTATCAACAGTAAGTGTGATGTGATTATTATTATTGGGATTATTATATATATTGCGAAGAATGGGATTTTTGGCGAAACGATGCGATCGCAAGAAGCGAGTGATGCGATAGTGAGAGACGAGCATAACTGCGTTGGGTATCAAGAGTTGGGCAAACAATATGGTCAACGAGTAAATGGATTTGTGATTGTTTGGCCAGTTTTCCACACACTTGCTGTACGTGAAGAGACCGGGAATGCCGTACTCGACCACCTCCTGGTAGACGGCGATCGGTGAGGCCAACGCCACCGACACTAACCATATAATCAATGTTATGTAACCGTATTTCGACGATGCCTTGCATTTCACGCTTGACTTTCCTATTTATAATTCAAATGAATGATATTTTTATTATTTCATTCAACAAATTGTTGCTATTATTTAATTAAATTCTTTAGATAATTATTTGCTATTATAGGTCTAAATTAAATTAATTAAATGTATATAAATATATCACTTTTATTAAATCCTTTGGAAGTCAAATAAATTCCCGTTAAATTGAGAAATAATTTTTTTCTAAAAATACCAATATATAATTTGTATCTTTATTTAAATTAAATTAATCACGTTTTAGTTAATTTGTTAATATGGCATGTTTTGTATCTAAATTCATATTTTATTTATAACTACTAGATTTGAATGCAAATATATATATATTTAGCATATGCATATTTGTTTAATTAGAGTTTGATGCTATTAAAGTGGTTCTATAAAAGTTACTAATTATGGTTGTTTTCGAGTATATTAATGTTGGTATTTTTCCGATGTTATTCCTAGATATAATATAATTTTTATTATAATAACGAAAACATCTTGGGATGCTTCAACTCACACTTGAACGTCATAAATATATGATATATCAAAAATATATCCCAGCTAATAATTGTATATTAATTAGTTTCGTTATAAATTATTTATAAATCGGGGTAAACATTATGTTATCTTTTGTTTTTTTGTCAGTACTTTATTCCCAATACATAATGTTTAAGATTTAATATGTTTTATAAATAAAAAGATTAGTTTCTTTGCAAAACACAATGAATTATATTTTGGTTTTCAATAATTTATTTACTGACAATAGAGGTGTAAAAGTTTTTGCCATATATTCTATCAATATTGCAGTAAATGTCATCTTGTTTAAATTTGAATGATAAAGTGTTTTGTAAAAATAACATTTTCTAAAATTAACTTGTTTATTTTCCTGTTGTGTCAAAGTTGGTTAAATACATGCATTTAGATATCGATTAGTAGTCCATATATACAAACCAATAATAGGATTAACTTAGTTTTCTGTGTTAATCCCAACCATTTATAGGTCATTAATAGTGTTATACAGAATTTATTGATTACTCTATATGTGAATGAATTCTGTTATAATTAACACACATTTTAGGGTTACTTAGGAATAGGATTCTTAATATCAAATGTTTTTTACTACAATAATATTATTACTATTTGTTTATAGTGTATAACAAATAAATCATTGTTTGAATGTCAATATAATGTTAGTTAAGAAACCATTTGATTAATAATATGTCTTATAAAAGACTTCTTTATCATACATAATAGTATATTGTGTTTACTTTATTACTTTTTGATTAACTGATTAGTTATGTATTATTCCTAACAAAACAGGGTTTCGAATGATTTCAAGTCAACGGACAACAACTTATTATAAATAAATATAATGTATATTAAAAGGCTATAAATTCAAAGTTTGTTGACTGAATTGTTGGGTAAATATAGTAAAAAGTCACGATTTATACATATCTCATGTTTATGTCGCCAAATGACTGATAAATATTAAAAGAGAGTAAATATCGCATAAATCTCTTAATATAACAATTAATATATTTCAACAACACTTGCAATTGATTAAAATCAAGTTGTTTTAACTATATCCAAATTTAAATAATCTTAATACGTTTATTTCTCAACTTATAATGGGAAAGTTGTTTAATTATAATAATTACTTTTTGAATTCAGACATAAAGTTACACAATATATAATACTATACATAACACATTTTTATCTCTTATTTATTACAGAAGAATTAATAATATATACGAATTGATAAGGAATTTGAATATTTTATTATAACAACTATCTAACTACAGTTTATAATACATTATTAAGCATGGTCTTATACATTTTGTTATAAATACATGTATACTGTATTACAATACATAAGAAGCACTTCTAATCAATTGTGTGCCACTTTAGATAAGATGTTTCTTAGAAAACAAGCGATTTTAATCATTTTTATAGTAATATTGGCACTAATTTGCTATCTGATTAAATGTTCTCAAACTACCAGGTTAAAAAAAGTACAATTATATTCTAGATTAATTAGTATAAAATCAATAATTAGATTACAATAATAAAAAGCACAATACCTGTGAAGTGTTTGGCGGTAATCTGAAACATGCGGTCAAAGGCGATGGACGTGATGGTACCGGCGGACACAAATATGGACACCGCCTGCAGGAATGGTATGGATTTACACATGAATGCGCCGAACGGCCAACTCCTCCGGATCAGCGACAGCAGCGTAAACGGCATACAGAATATGCATAACAACATATCCGACACAAACAGGTTTAGCAGCAAAAGTATGTTTGAAGTCATGAGCTTCTTGTTGAACACCATCACGAATATGATGACAGAATTGGTCGCAATGCCAAACACCATGAAAAAGGCATAGATGCCGATCAACAGGGTTTCGGTCACCGCGTCAA